TCATTCACTGAAATTCATTCACCTGTCTCCCCTTCGGATGGTCTTATATTGGGGATCATGTTTCTTTTTGGGGTCTTCCTGGCACAAGGTTATTCTTCTGTATTGGACCGAATAACATTCCTTGCATTTGTTATAGCGCCTTATCACATCATAAAAATGTCTCAAAGAGCTTCACAACATTTGCTGTAAAGTGTAGTAACCCTGTCTTTTGCTGGCGGACACATTGATTTGCACACAAGCAACATCCTACAAACAGGCATGACTTCCATAGATTTTACATACATCAATGACTCATTTTATCTAGAGAACTCTTGGCCAGGATACCAAGAGAAACTCCCTTCTCTTTTGCAATCGTGCCACAGGACTTTAATGGGAATCTGGGCAGGCACAGACAGGACAAGACTTAAAAAGGCAAGTATGAGCAGGCTGAGAGGGAAAAACATTATGAGAAAGGTAGAAACTGCATATGATGAGAGACGGGAATGGGCCATTAACAATTGGTGGAATGCTGTCTGCAGGAGGCTTAGAAGAAAACAAAAATGAAAGATACAGCAGTAAGAAGCTGTGAAATTCCATTAGAACTCAGTTCAGATTTCCCACAACAGTAGCACGAAAGGTCACAGGTTCAGGGTTGTGTAAGGCAATCTTAGGACAGATACTGGATGCATTTCCGTAAAGCTTGATACTATAATGGGAAGGTAATAAGGATGGATATTCTAGAAGAATGAGATCAAATGACCTGAAAATGACAACAACTTGCATTTATATAGCGCCCTTCACGCAGGGTAGTATCCCAGAGCGCTTGAAGCCTTCTTTACCCGAGACTCTCTTCAGAAGAGTGATGGAGAGACACCTAGGGTGAACCCTGGGGATCCTGATGTGGAGGCAGGTGGAGAACAAAGTCTTAAAGTATAGAGATAAAATAGAGGAACCCCAAAATACCCCAATAAATAGAAAATATTGCAAACCCAGTTTTACCTGAGTGAATGGACTTTTGCAACTCCTGTCCCTTACTGTTTACATTATGTACATCAAACTTATTTTGGGACATCAGCATCCTAGAGCCAGCACCTTGGGATGTCCTCCCCACATGAAAGGCGCTATATAAATGTATATCTGTATTGTAGTTTGCAAAGTTTGAAAGCCTGTCTTCTTTAGCGGAAATGAAATGGTTTGAATGCACAGAATAGTCTGTGCTGATTTGCTCTGCCTGATATACACGATGTGTGCGTGAGTTGGACAGGGAACGGTTTAGACATTCGTTGTAAATAGCTCTTCGTCTCAGTCGAATTGATTTTTCTCAGAACAGTAATTAGTGTGAGCTGGGAAGATTTGTGTTAAGCTTTATCAGCAAAGTGCTCAGTATATTCTCAAAAGCTAGGCTTAGTGTTTACTTGTTATAAATAAATGAATAGTTTCTAGTCTAATGTGGGAAAAAGGACAGATAGAACATTCAAGAATTAAATTGGTTTCTAGGTTTCTTTCATTTACTTTTCCCAATCCAGTTTCTTTGATTGAGTGAGATTATTATCTTTAAATATGTCCCCTTTTTGAATAAGGAAACATTATGTGATGGAAAACTAACCCCTATCAAAACTAAATCAATTGCATGACTGAAGGACAAGAATATTGTAATTCTCTTCAGCAGAAGCAACAAATGCTGATCTGCACTGCAAGGGTGAATACCTGTAAAATATAGTCTGTTGCTAAAAGAATACAAAAATTATTAGCTTTGCAGTGAACATTCAAGATTAGGGAACAGAGTATGTGGTGCAGGATTAACATATTGATGTCTGTGGTTATTAATAAGGATGTGGTTTCAATCCCTTCACTACAGTCAAGTTTGAGCATTCCTCCATTTATGCTAGAGTAACTGTGGTGTACCTGGGAATACAAAAGCACAATTTAGTTTAATGAGAATGTTAATAAAAAGAATGAATAAATAGTCATGATTCCCTGTCCTAGATCATGCCGGTGCTTCTGACTGCAATTGTTACAATTCTCTATTATTACTGATGTTAATAATGATAATAATCCTTGCATTTGATATAGTGCTTTTCACGTCTTCTAGACATCTCAAAGCGCTTCACAGATTAGACTGTAAAGTGAATTGACTGTATACTTGTGGGCAAAACGTGGCAGCCAATTGTGCACAGCAGTGTCTCGCAAACAGTCGTGGATTGAAATAACCAATTCATTATTGTTTTATTTTCTTGAGGGATTAGTATCAGCTGTGTGGAGTAAGGATACATTGCCCAAGGTTTCAACCAGCCGGGAATTGAATCCAGGTCACTCGGTAGCAAGGCGAGCTCTCTAACCACTGAGTTACAGGACTCCACATGAATCTTCATCCAATGTTACTGTCATCAGAACTCAAGTATCATTGCACCTCCCAAAACTATAAGACTTTGTTAGTTTGTTAAATAATTTAACACATTACATCTTGTCACTGTCTAAATTTTTAAAGATTGTTTTTATCGTAACTTCCCCATTTTAAAAATGTTAATTACAAAAAATTTTCATACCTCTCATTCACACTTGCAATGAATTGATTTTGGCTGTGCACCCAACAATTCGGAAGACAAATGCTGAACTCGTATCTTTCATTGAAATGTCCAGTCATCATGAATTGTAAATTAATGAACAAGAGAGTGGTGCTTCGAACATGTTTGGGAAGAGGTTGCTGTTTTTCCTTGGCACCCCTCTTCTGAGAATGTAATGGTCCATTCCAGAGGATTGTGAATTTAGTTTTTTTNAAATTAACAAATACATTTTAATAATTGCGAACTTCGATATTATTTAGAAAATACTATTTAGAAAAAGAGAAGGAAGTTTCTCCTGGTGTCCTCGACAACAATCCTCCAGATAAAATTGGCCACTCACTTCTTGGCTGTTTGTAAGATCTTGCTATGCACTAATTGGTTGCCCTATTCATCTACAAAACACACACAGCACTTTAGAGCAAATTCTGTATAAAGCCATTTTGAAACATTTTGACAGTGTTAGGAAGCACAATATCAAATGCAGATTATTAAAATTAAGGGTATTCTCAAATAAAATTAAATTATATAACCCATACCATTTTACATGTGTGTAGTGTATATACCATATAAGGGTATCAAGGGGTATGGGGCAAGGGCAGGTAATTGGAGTCGAGGTACAAATCAGCCATCATCTAATAGTATGCGGTAGAAGTCTTGAGAGGCTAAATGGCCTAATCATGTGCCTATGTTCCTATATTCTCATTGGTTGTCCTTTTTATTGTGATCTAATTCACATTAAAAAAACACTGGAAATCTCTGGTCTTTAACGTGAACGTGCTTTCCTCCTCTTTTTCTTAGACAATCAGGCAGAGGGTTGAGTCGCAATTTCTCGACCCAATATTGAGTAGCTCCCGTGACAAAACAATTTACAATTCAGTGCATTTGGAGGAGCTGCTCTCTGGTGAATGAAAGAATATTATTAGTGAAGCATCTTCGAATGCTCAAAACTATTCAAACAAGAGCTTGTGATGAATTTATAGCCACCTAAAAAGCATTCAGATCAGAAGGCAATTTCTAAACACATCTAGTGCAGTGCTGTACATTGATCACAGAGTTGTGTGCAATGCTGTGGAGTTTCTGCAGTCAGCACTGTCTTTGGAAAGAGAAATTTGCCTGTGTAATAAAATGAGTGGAAAAGATTTATTTTTATAACTAGTTTGAAAATTACTTTGGAAATTTTGGCTTAAATGTTAAAATTAGAAAAAAATAAAGTGAATAGTTTATACCAGAGTCTGCTCTAGGTCAAAGTCTACAGAATTAGTGCAGGCACTTGAGGAAACCTTTGGAATATCATATATTCAGGTCTTGTATACGTTGCACCTTCACACATTCTGAGTCGTCCAAGTTTCTAATTCTGCACAAAACAGAAATGATAGAAAATTAAGTTCCACCTACTACCAATGTGGTTTGGCAGATAAAGCCTGCGATATTTTTTAACCGGATTTATTTGATAACAATTGGCTGTTCCATGAATCTTGCAAGTGAAACATGTTTGAAGATTCAGAAACTGGAATATGTATTTAAACCTGCAAGCCTTTATTTTGAATGTTGCAAATTCGATCCTATCTTTCCCAATGTATACAGTATCAGCTGCTGCATATCTCAACACCAATACCTATAAAGGTACATTGTAAACTGCTGATGTTATAGACACATAAAATCAAGTCTTCATCTCTTGTCATTCTCTGGGGTAATTGGATTGTTTGGACAATGGTTTACATTCCACTAAAAAAAATTGTATTTTAAGAACAAGGATGAAGGGTAGAGCAAGGTTGAAATGAAAAGGAAAGCCAACAGGAGGAGACTCCAGCCTGTTCCACCAGTTTAATTAGGTCTTACCCACAACCCTTAATGCCCCAATTAGCAAAGACTCAAGGTAACAAATGTTTGGAAGAAACAGGATGGAAGCCAGAAGTGTTAGAAGGATGAGTTTTCAGCTGATCAATTATAGGAATGCAAGAGTTATGTGAGTAAAGTCTCCCCAAACATGGTAGGAGTTTTACTTTGTGTAAACAATAACATGTTTGAAGATGCGCAGATGTGATTTACAGGGGATCTAAAATATAACTAGTTCCTGATTTTATGCAAAGAAAAATCACATCAAAACAATGCAAAGCTCTGTAGTATAATTTATCTGGGATTTGGGGGTTAGTCTAACCCAATACTTTGCATGCATTGTCGGGAACAGATTTACGGTCCTGAAGATGAAGGTATTGTTTACAAGTAAGAACATTGCACCAAGTGACCCACAGGTTCAGAAATGCTAACGAGTTGTAACTAATAGCTACAAAATAACGGGAAACCTTTTTTGTGCATTTTCTTGTTAGTGAATTGTAACCTCGGCTCTGCTCAAGCGGAATAAACCTTCCCCACTTGTTCCATCCTGAATCCTTAATTATCATGTTGGCAATTTCGGTTTAATTGAAAACTACTTTTTCTCTTGTTTTATTGTTTTAGCATGCAAGCGTAAAGAGCAGGAGCAGAACAGAGATCGGAACAATACACCCAAGAAACAACGGCTTGTCTTCACCGATCTTCAACGCCGCACATTGATCGCCATATTTAAGGAGAACAAGCGGCCATCGAAAGAAATGCAGATAACAATTTCCCAGCAGCTGGGGCTGGAGCTCAACACAGTCAGCAACTTCTTCATGAACGCTCGCAGGCGAAGCATGGACAGATGGTTGGATGAGCCATCGACCGCCGCTGGGCAACCAGCATCAGCTGCAAGCACTTTTACCAAAGCATGAAACAGAGGAACAGCGGGCACGCAGTCCGTGCTACTACTGCACTCTGGAATTAAGACAAAACCAAAAAAAGGCTTTAAACCAAATAGACATGATTTTTAAAATAAATTCCAAAGAAAATCAAATCGGAGACACGTGTCCACCTTGCTCCAAACCAGGGTTATAAAGGAGCTGGTCGGGAGATAAGTTGCACTGTGTCACTAGCTGTTGATGCGGGTCTGGAAGCACATAAAGTACATATTCGGGTAATTTTCGTGACAAACTCTCGCACTATAAAGGTCATTATAGAATAGCCTGTATGAGGAAATGACCTAGTCATAGACTAAACATATTAAAGAAGTGTTTGTTGATATTTAAGTCTTGATGGAATTATTTCCTAAATGTCTCTGTTACCAAAGAAGATAAGACGCAAAAGTATATACTGAGTGGACCCTCTCCCCTCAAAAAAATAAAGATCGCAAATGATTTCTTATTCAATGGCTAGTTGCAGAAATGAAGAGAAAGAAAAACTTGTGCCAATAGCAACAGCTGCCTTAATGCTAATACATAGGATGGTACCACATGACTTGTCTGTTGCAATGCCTACAAGACGACTTGTGCCATATACAATACAAAACAGAATTTTTCACAAAAACCTTTTCTAGATGCCTCGTGATACCTTATGATGAGGCATGACAACACTGGAAACTGGATTTAAAAATGCGGGTATAGTACCATCTAATAATAAGGTTCTTTTTCAATGAACTAATTTGCTTTGCTGTGAAAGTTAGGCACCTTGTTGACGAAGAAAAAACTACACACTACTATAGTAAAATCTTACCAGAGTCACAAAAGAAAAGAACCAAGAAACAAAATCAAGCTTTTGGTATGTAAGAGTAATAACATGATGACTGATAGTACATTGTTTAAAAATAAATATTAAGATACTATTGAAGAGGCACAGATGGAACGTCTGAACAGTTTTTCGCTAAAACTCCTCTAATGTTGTTTCTGTCTTGTTGTGATGTGGTAAAGCTTGATTCTTTAACCAAATCTAGTAGTATTAAATAGGAAGCAAAAAGCTTCCAGTTGTGAACTTTGTAGAGACATTTATAGTGAGAACCAAAGAGGCTACCTCACTGAATTTCAATTGTGATTTTAAAATCACGTCTGATACCAAAGATTTCCTTGCACGATCTGCGTTTTAAATCATTCCCCGCATTCATACCTTCTCCATCCTGTAGATTAGAAATATACCCTCCGATTAAAACAAGTCCTCAACATTTTACAGTAATACAGGAGATGACAAGCAGAGAGTGACCACAAGACGAGTGCCTTGCTTGAACCAAAGCGATGAGTATTAGAAGATCTCTGTGCTTTGAAACTTGTGTATACCTCAGTTTCGGAAACACAGTTTTCTGCTTAGCCTTTCATTAATGTACCAACATCCTCTTGTACCTATTCTAATCCGGGGCAAAGCCATTCTAGTCGCACTCGGGCAATTGGGAAGATGGGGGTAGCACTGCCCTTAATTTAATCTGATAGCTGGGTTATCCAAGTTATGTTGCCAAAATATACCCCCAGAATATTGCCTTCGATTCCCAACTGAGTAATTATAGCCCCTGGTAATATATGGTATTAGCGCACATGTTTTGCATTTTTAAACACAAGCTTAAATGTTTGAAGGTTATGAAAAGTTGATATTTCCAGTAAACAAAATCCTATTTGTTGAGTTTCAAAATGCATTGTGTGAATGTTCTGTTTTATTTATTTTATGGATTTTACTCATCCTACATTTTAAAATACTTTTGCTCAAAAATAAGAATTGCTATGATAAAGATTAGACAACATAGATCATATTGAGGCTAACTCTTTTGGGGGATTAGGAATATTTATTTTAAATAAAAATGGAATTGCATTTAAACTAAGGGCTGTGTTTTTTTCCGTCGCCCATTGAATCCAGGGTAATTGGGAAAGTATAGGTGCTTTCAATTAAGTGAGTAACACTGAATTTTAGATGAGTCGGGACTGAAAAAATGGCAATGTTTCACAGCCATCCATAACACAGACCGTGTTCTCCATGTTCATACCAAGGTGAATGTTGTTCTCAGCTGATGTGTTTTACAGCCAAAGGGACAAAGTGTGACTGGTGATATAGTGTTCATTCCTTCTAGGACAGCATCCAAAAAAAAGATTGAAGCACAGCTGTAAAAATCGAAGATAGTTAAATGAATGTAGTAGTGGCCAGATTGTACACTGGAGTCAGTGAAGTGCGCTGCACAAAGGGATGCAGCACGTTTTTGACACTCAGCCCCAATTAGCCTGTGTAACAAACAAGAGTTTCCAGCGCATTATTTTGCAGAAACATGTGGTAACACTCGACTAAAGATTGAAAAATGTTTTTGCACGAAATGTACCTAATGAAGTATTAATATTCTGCACACCTTTGGCTCCAAGGCTTTCCTCATTTGTGGATAAAATCCCACATCATGTACTCTCTGTATTTATATTTAGTTAAATGAGCAGCAGATCACAATGCTGATACTGCAACGATATGTAGGCAGATAGACCAGAAAAGCAAAGAGTTTGTTTAGCCAATGTATTACAAAAGAAAAATCACTTGTATTGTGAAAAGAAGTATTATTCATCCAAAAAAAATCATTTATCTACATTTGCATTCTGACACAGAACCTGTGCACTAACATTTCAGTGGTACTTGATTGGCTTTCCTAATTGCAAAGTGTTTTTAAGAATACACCAAAAATCCAAACACTGCGGGTGGCCCTACGACACAGACCGTGCAAGCTTTTGACAATTTCTCAGAAATACCTCAACTATTAATGTATAGTTTATGTGATAAAATACTAGCTAGTTTTGGAAATTGTGACTTGAAGCTTTATACTGTTAAATTATAATTTTGCAGAAGGTGGCATGTATACTTTGATGCGTTCATGGAAGACATATGAATGTTATGGCAATGAATTTGAAAGCTGATGCTGGTTGATAAAGGACCCCGGAGTTTACACTTTTCATACTTTTACAGTCCTTTGAGGTAATTTTATGTTCAGATGTTTCTTTCCAGAGTCATGTCTTAATACAATATTTAAAAGCGTTATGTGTTAAACTGTAATAAAAAAGACAGATAAATGGAATTTATGATTTATGCATGAATATGTACTCTTTATAGAGATAATGTGTGGTTAGTATTGGAAAATGATTGATTTTAATACCAGATTTCATTTTGAATAGAAGTCATGCATGGAAACTGTTATTTGTTGCATATTGTGGAAGATGTTTGTATACATTGTGTTGTGATGACACTGAACTGACCTGAATTGATAAACTGAGATGCTGTGTTTGCGCATTAACTGCAGGTTATAGGAACTGTGCCTACGGTCAAAGCATTAAGGGAAAGCCCAAACCAGGCTTTAGGGGTTATTTGATATAGCTGCACAGTGCTGGCTGTAGAGTGCAAATTAGAGGTGAGCAAAGATATCCATAATTAAAACGTTTTAAAAAAAGAAAAAAAGTCTGAGCAAATAGTGATCTTGACAATACAGTCTAGACAAAACATTTTATTTAAATCCCCTTTAATCAAATTTTTCAAAGTATTACTTATTTTTATCTCATGGAGATATATCATTGAATTTAAATAAGTGTCTTTGTGTTAGAAAAGAGACAATCAGCATAGACATAGTAAGCCTTTTTTTCAGAAAGACATTTTCTCTGAGTCAAGCTTTCATTATATTAGAAATTCACAATTGTAGTGTAATAAATAGCATTGACCGCATTCTGTAGCATTCTGAAATGATACATTAACAACAGAATGATTTTACATTGATGAAGTTACCACAAGCAAGAGAAAGTCTTCTCAATGCTTAAAAACACTGGATCTGCAGCAGATTAGGACAATGATGGCAAAATGGAAACGCTGTGAATGAAGAATAGAGTCAAGGGAATTTGTAATTTTCAAAGTAATAAACTTAATGTTTTTTGTGTAGACTTGATAAAGATTTTATTACCAGAGAGAGAGAGAGAAAATAAATCAAGGGAAAAGTTAATAACAGAAATGTAGCTATGCTAGAAATATGGTTTAAGCATTTGGTTGAACAGGAAAACTATCAAAAAACTTCCTTCCACTCTGTGAAATAAGCCAATTTTAGCTTGACAATGACCATTGGATTTTATCCAAATCATATTAATATTAATATGGAATGACAGTGGCTGTTTTGATCATGTATTAGTTGATACAACTTGCTCAAATTTACATTCGGTGCAAGTTTCATGTGTCAAACATATGTAATTACTTACTGCTAATGGAGTCTATGTATTTTTGTTTGCCTTCTGGTAATGAACTTGAGTTCAATGATCACAGTGAATTTAATGAATTTTGTGTGGGAAAATTGTTGTAGCAAAGAAAATGTCCATTTAAAAACTATATGTAAGGGTCCAACTGTCTCCAGAAAACGTTTTAAGCCCTTAACACACCGCCACGCAATTATAATGGTAACTGCAGTTTCTAGAATGGAGCATCGATAAGTTTCACTTACCAGCTTGATCCATTCTACCTTTTAGAGCTTTGACTTGCAGGATGAAAATATGTCTGCACCTCATGTCTCACTGATGAGTCAGACAAAATGGTCAAACATCAACAATAGCTTGGATTATTACAGGTCCACCCAGCTATGGCTTCTTGGAGTGAGTTCAATTTCATGAAACTCTGCTTCTTCCCCAAGGATGATACATTGCTAAAGTATGTTACTCCTTCTACCTCCTCAAAAGGCTGAAGGATTGATTGGATCCATAGGGATTTTTGAGTCCAGACCTTCTAATCTGAGTCTGGTGCTCAACTGACTGAGTTATCCGGGATATCACAGTAGCTTCACCTCTCTGTCTTTTGTCCAGATCATGTGCGATTCAGGTGTTGAGGTCACAAGGGATACTGATTTAGGGTGTGCAATTACTTGAAGCTCCCACATGATGCTTTAGAACATATTTGTAAAAATATAAATTCAGATATCTGAAGTCAGATATTGATAACTTGGCATTGCCTATGAAACTGGGAGCCAAACCTTCCCAAGCCAACTAGTTCTGAAAAATAGCTCCAGGTTTCAGTGTCAGTCACTGCAGCAAAGAG